GGTAGTTTTTTTTTGATCTTATATTTAAAAAAAAACTTTTTTAATAGTAAGGGACATTTGAATTATGTCCTTGCCTTAATTTAGGGACCTATCTTTACCTACAGATCTAATTGTTTTTTATATTTATATTATTTATATTATTTTTTTATTATATAATAAAAAAAAATCTTAAAAATCAAAATTTATTTGGCTAAAGAAAATAAAATTAATTATAAAAATATTAATAAAATAAAAATAATATACATCAATTTAATTAATATTCTTATAAAGTATTTTTTCAAATAAAAAATTTTAATAATTAATAAAGATATTACTAAAAAAATTTTAAATAAATATTTAGACTTAATTATTTTAAGTATTTTAATTAACTTCTAAGTAAACTATTTCAAATTTTATTGTTACAATATAATATAATCAAAAATCCTGTCAAGTTTAATTTATAAATTAAAGAATAAAAAAAAAACAAGAAATATAATAAAGAAAAAATATAAACAATTAATAATATATATATATAATATAAATTATAAATTATAAGAAATAATTTAAATATTTAAAAGAAAAGAAATATTAAATTTTTAAAAGTTCTAAAAGCTATATTAAATTATTAAAAAAACAAAAAACAAATATAAAAAAAAATTAATAAAAAGATTTTTTTAAATTTATTAAGTATTGATTATAATCTACTATATTATTATTATATATAATTTTTTTAAAAAATACATAATTTGTAACTCTAAACAATTTTTAATATGTAATGTATAATTTAACTTGATAACTATATCAAGTATATATTTATCAAAAATTATTTAATATATTTAACAAAAAATTCAAAATAATAAACTCTTGAATTTTTGTCTTAATATCTATTTATATAAACAAGTTAATAATAACAAGCTGATATCAAATAATATCCAATACAATAAAACATAAAAATTTTTATAAACTTTATTATAAAATTAAATAAAAAATAAATTCTAATTTTTGAAAATATAGGAAATTGATTGTTTGCTATAAGATATTTACTGCATTTACATGCACACATTCATCAAAATGATTATTCTTTATTCTACTGTATAAAATCATTATAATTTAAATTATAGAATCTTGGAGCTTTATCAAATTTTCATGTTTCAATTAAATTAAATAAGTGTAATACAGTACAAATTAATATGATGCATAAATCCTTACAAATGTTGAATAATGCAATTCAATGTGAAATGGTTTATCAGAAAACATTGTATTAAAAGAAATATTCTAATTTGAAAATCAATTAACAATTACAGTATAGTAAATGTAAATCAAAAACAAAAATCATGCATTTACTGTATATACAAAATCAATTCAAATTACAGTTAAATCAAATAGAATTGGCATGTCAAACTTGCTTAAAATAAAATAACATTTAAAATAATATGAGAAAATTTAAATTCAATGATGAATATATCATTTAACTTGAAATTTAAATAATTCTCAAGTATATTACAAACTATTTAACAAGCTTCAATATGATCCTGATTTAAAATTTTGTACATTGATTATCCATTTGAAATTCATGATTACACCTACCTTCAAACTCGAATTTTATGTTAAGGATTTGTAAATCAGTTGACGAGACCCAAATTCTCATCAATATTTTATATACAGCCAAATTATTAAAATTATAGATGCACTAATTTGCATCTCTCCAAGAAATATAAACCTCGTCCGTTCTAAATCTAAATATAAAAACAAACCAGTTGTAGAAATAAGATAACAAATTTTAAATAAAAAACATTTTGACATTCACTACCTTTGGGTACAAGTAGCTTTCTCTAATGATGTGGTATAACCTGTCCTGTATGCAAGCAGCCCAGCATGAGCAATCATTATCCCGTTATCAATACAAAACCTGTCAAGTATATGTTGAATATTTAAAGGTCATAAAATGCTATAAAAGCAATATTGCATGAATACAAACATCACTTAATTACCGCTCATCTGTGGCAAACACCTTTCCATTGCGTTGCTCTGCCATTTGAGCCATCATCTCTTGCAATCGCAAATTACCTAAAAATGCTCGCATATTAAACAATAATACGTAGAATATTTAATAAATAGTAACATTTATTACTCACATCCAACACCACCTACGATCAATACTTCTTGACTTCCAATATGTGCCATTGCCCGCTCGGTCGTTTCTACCAGCATTGCAAACAATGTTTCCTGTAAAGAATAACAAAGGTCTTCGGGAGTGACCTGTCCAGTGGAAAGCTGCTCTTTCGCTATCACTTCAATGTTTGACAAAATTCCAGAAAACGAAACATCCATTCCTTTAACCGTGTACGGCAATTCGATAAACTTGGTACCTCTTGTATATTGAATGAAATTAACAATAGGTGATACATAATATGAATAGATTGACTTTTATTATGTATATCCCTACCGTTTTGCGTATTGTTCAATGTTATAACCGGGGCTTGGATCGTTTGGCAAATTCAATATTCTTGCGAATCTGTCAAGACAATTACCAACTGCTATGTCCAATGTTTCTCCGAAAATTCTATACCTATGTTTTAAGAGTTAAGGTACAAAATGACAAGCCATTCCCAATTATTCGGATACTGCAAAGAAAGCTTGATAATTGTATATACCTATGTTCCGAATAAGCAATTACTTGTGTGTTTCCACCACTGACGTATAACACTACTGGATTGTTGGCTCCCGTAATTTCCCTGCCCATCTCGATATCTATAATAAAGATAATTGTAAAGAATCCTAATAATAGTATTTCCGGAAGAATTGTTAACTTGGAACTTACGCCCTATGCAATGATTAACGGCAACTATCGGTTTCTCCCACAATAATGCCAAAGTTCTCGCAACCACAGCCACTGATACAAGAGGTGCACCCATTCCCGGTCCTGTTGAATTTTTTTAGATCATGAATATTGTGTGGAAGTTTCAAGTATTTCTTGGAATAGAATGTTTAGATTTACCTTTTGTATAACAAATACAATTAACATCCTTAACTTTGACATTTGCAGTTTTAAGAGCTTGCTGAATCACCGGGATAATATGTGCTCGATGATGTGCTGCCGTATCTCTTGGTAAAAAGCCAGTACCTGGAGGTGTAACATGCGTATGACGAATGTTGGACAAAACAGTCACTTTACCAGTTTCAAGATCGTGCTTAATAATGCCGACACCTAATTTATTCGCTGAACCTTCTAACCCTATTGCTATCATTTTTTTTTCTCACCCAGACCAACTAGGGATGATGTACAACTAATCACGTTTTTTCAATTGCGTTTGGCTGTCAGCTGATAACATTTCATATTTGAGCCAATCATACCAATGAAATTTTCTAGGTACGCACTATAATAATGATCATTATATTTGTAACAAAGATTACTTATGATGATATTGTACATGCCATTTGCAATATGTAATTTTATTTCAACATAACCAATAGATTTACAGGATGCTTGTGAAAATGTGGTCAAATATAACAAAATATATTGTAAGTAAAGAGAAAAGAGAAAGGTAACGCGTCGTGTACCAAACAAATAAGATAATTTAATTAGATACACACATTCATCGATACATACATATAGGTAAATCAAATTATCTATCGAGAAAGTTTAGTTCGAAAGTGGTTCCATATGTTCTTCCCGTTTTAAGATTTTTTGCATTCGCACGAATTTCCCCCTTCCCAAAAGTTAAAGAGAAATGAACCAATCTGTTGAGGCCCAACTCAGGATCTGGAAGATCGAATATTATAGTGCCTAATAATTGCACTCCAGGTTCGTCAACATAAGTGGCATTTTGAGCGGTGGTGATATAGACAGCACACCTTGCACGAGTTTGGTCGTGATTGGAGGGTGGAAAAACGTCAGAGAATTCTTGGTTAACATAAACTTGTGTTCCCCTTTCGACCAATCGATAAAATTTAAAAATTTTTCCGTTCTCCTTTTTTCTTTCCACAGGATCTTTTTTCTCGTCAAACATTGTATTAATCAATAGACCATAAGTATATTTTAACACCCTACTATGAACAACGCTCATATTCAGTCCATACTCTACTCCACCTCTAACCACAGCACTTATCGGCTGTGCAGGCACAGAGACATTTAACACTCTTGAAGAGAATTCTTCTTTAATTCTTGTCTGTAAATACACCGATTCGCTAAAACCGCCCACCAGGAAAATTGATGAGATAAACTCATTGTCCTTGGTAATCTGGTTTTCAATTAATTTTAAAATCTTTTCGACTACAGGATCAAACATATCTTTCACATCTTTGAAACTAATTGTGATAATCCATTCATCATACTCTAATATAGTTCTCTCCAAGCCATGAACGTATTGCTTCAAAGCAGGGCAGACTTCTTCAATATCTAATTCATATTCTTTAAAGTCTTCTGGATTACCGGTGAATGGGATCTTGATGCGTTTACAAAATTCTTGCACGAGGTATTGAAATTGGCCATAATTGTTTCGTTTGAATAACAGAATCGCTTTATCGCCGATTTTTCCTTCAATAAAATTTATAAATTCTTTATCAACAAAGGAACCCCCGCAGAAGTCACCCGTGCTTTCTGTGATTTCGTCAAGTTTATAACCATCGAGCATTTTACGTTTAGTCAAGTCAACAGTTCCGCCACCAACATCAACAGTTAAAAATAAAGCTATTATACGTTCGATATTTATTGGGAATGCATATAAGTATTTAGATTAGGTTTCAAAATGAAATTCAGTAAGATAGAAAGAAAGTAAAAAAATGCTACACATACATCCGACCGAATTATTAAGTTGTTCCTTGAAAAGTTTTATGCAATAGATGGCAGCAGCCTCCGCTAGCAAATTTCAGGAAATTGTTGAAGTAGATATTATAATTGACAGCAATTTAAAAGGTTGTTAATGACTTACGTTCAGTGGTAAACTCCAATTGTTTGGCAATCAATTCGGCATCCGTAACACATTTTCTCATAATTGCTTTCGCCTGATCATTAAATTCTACGGGCACGGTAAGTACTAATAATACATTTTTCTCAAAGTCAATTCCTGGCCATCTCGAAAGTATGGTTTGTTTAATAAGCTAAAAAAAGAAAAAAAAAATCGTTAGAGCACCAAAGGTAATGATGATTTTTTACTCCATATTAAGAAATAAACTGTACTCACATTGCCTTTACATAAATTGCATAGATGAAACAAAATGTAAATTATTAGATAAACTTGGAACTATAAACTTCACAATGCAAGAAAACACGCTTACCAATTTCTCTGAAGTAATCTGTGATGACCCTTTCGTAATCTAATTCTTCTGGCAATGTCGGTTTTTCATCCTTCCCTAAATCCCCCAAGTGCAACTTGAATAACTCCACTGGTTTGGGACTTGTCATTGGAGTACTGAAATTAGCATGCATGATATTGGTCGATTCGTTAGGCGCAGTAACGCCTTCACTTATTGACTTTGATCTGGTTATACTCCGGCGATTTTGATTAGGCTGTACCGCCAAAGCAGGATATCCCCATGCCTCAACCTTACGGAAGAATGTATCATACTGGAGTGCAGTATTGGTTTTGTGTTCACCGCACTTGCCAGGCCAAATGTCATTGGTACAAATTTCGGGATTCGATATGTTGGCATAGGCGAATCCCTATTTTTTTCAATTATCGTAAAATAAAGAGATAATTAAAGAAGACAAAAAACGAAAAGATACGCCGACGCGTATAAGATCGAACAACTAAAGAGATTGTTTTAGTTGTATACACGTACAGAATAAGTGGTCCCAAAATCTATTAAATAACAGAAAATTGTAAACACTCGTACGATTAAAGCATGAAGACTGCAACATCAAAGTAAAATCTTGTTTACCAATGCAAACAACTACACGAATATCATCTTCTAATGACATGTTTATATACAGGAAAAGAATCCTTCGGTCGATTGTTGACAACCAGAGCTAAGCCCTTTAACCCAAAGAGAATGAATTAACTTGGATTATAAATGCTCATGTGAAATCAATATTTGCATTGTAATACAAATAATACGTAAGGAATTTTGGAGCGCCATAATACAGTAAGGTACGTACATAATAACGCATATATATATATAAACAACATTCACTTTAATTCAACAAAAACGAAAGGAAATACACATGATTACCATATATGCGAGATCGAATATTGATGTACTGTAGTTGGTATCATAGCACCCCTTTACCAGCGTGTAAACCAAGACGTTCGAAATTAGAAAGTAATGGTGCATTGAGAAATTTACCATTCTAGAGCAAATGACAAGAAAATTCTCTGAGGAAATGGTGATCATGTGGGCATTCAGACCATATTTTTCCGAAACCTCACCCGTTACAGTTGTACGGTGTGTAAACAATACAGCATTACAGTAATAATTAAATTTGCTATTAATTTTAATAATGGTAATTATTTTATATTACCTGATTATTTTGAATCACACCATTGTCAAAGATTCAATATTCTTTATAAAGTACTGTATAAATACGTGAAGCACAAGAGATCACAATAAAGAAAATAAAAGGGTCAATTACGTAAGTGTTAGCTCAGGTAAACAGAAAGAAGACCTTGACAGAAATATCCAGACCACGAACCCATCAGAAACATTGGATCGGTCTCAACTGGAAACGCAAGTGCTTCACATCCATTTTGGAACGATCGTACCGAGGAGATATCGAGAAGGTTGTGGTTACCAGGAAGGATCGACTCTGCAGATTTGTGTAAAAGCTTGACAAATGGATTCTTAGCAAGAACAGTACAAAGATCAAAGACCGTGGTACTCGATTCCGAATTTAGTGAACTTGCCAAGAACCTATTATCAATCGTTAGTATCTTTACGGCAAGACACAATGGGCTCAGATCAGCTGGAAACTGAAGACGATAAAGAAAGATTTAAAACACGAAAGGTACGAATTTACCCAACACCCGAATAAAGAGAAAAGTCGAGGAAGTGGATGAAAACTATGAGATGAATACACAAAAAAAGTTCTTGAGATGGTCATGAGCATCACACGAAAGCATTACCTGTATGGTGAGTGCTTCGCAATCTCTTTAATAAAGAGACCCCTAGGGAAGTACGTTCGTAAGCAATTCGACAACTGATAGACACAAATGCCGATCAAAGAATCGAACACAAACCATCTTTATTCTTGCTAGGGATTAAATCCGAATAGGGGAAATATGCATTCCTAAAAAAATATTATCGCTCAGAATGATCACGAGGATCAGTAATATGGTTAACGTAACTATGAATTATCTGAGATTTTTACTTGTGTGTTTCCATTTCTTTGGATATCATTAATAAATAAACCTTTTTTTAAATTATTCTTGGTTCAATTATTGCAATTGAAAAATTATTTAATTTCTATTATTTTTATTATTAATCAAAAACATTTAAACTATTGTTATACTTTATTTTTATTCAATATTTATATCATTCATTGTTTTATTTTTACTAGCATTTACTTTTGAAATATCTTTGCTTCTAGAATAATTTTCATATCACTGATTTGCTATTAATTTTTGTCTACAAACCTTACATTCCTCATTATTTCCTATCTAAAATTTTCATATCACTGATTTACTATTATATTTTTGTTTACAAATCTTACATTCCTCATTCTTTTCTATCTAAAATATTCTATTAAATAATATACTTATTATAATTGTCTATCTTGACCAGAATATTTATTTCTATCTTTATTGATATTTAATGAAACTAATATCTTCTTTATAATTTAGTCAACTATACTAGTTCACATTTTATTATATATATAAATATATGTCTTTAATTTCTTTTAAAATTACAAAATTAAGCTTCAATAATATCTTGATTTTATAAATCAAATTACTATTGTTTCTTTTATTTGATTTTATTAACCTTAAAGTTTTTAAGAATATATAAAATTAATACAATTTTAACATATTACATTAGACTTTTTAATTTAGTGTCTTCTTGCTATTGGTTTTTTATTTTTATTTTTCTTCTAAAGTAAAAACAATATATAACAATATACTTATAACAACTTGTTATTCTAATAAATATTATATAATAATATTATATTTTATTAAAATATAATCTTATTGCTTAAATATTTCTCAAGATAATTAATAACAGAATAAATTTCTTATTATATTGAAACAAAAATTTTTTTATGATTTTAAAAAAAATATATCAAATTAATATACTGTATATATTTTTTTAACTTTATTAAATCTTAAAAATTTAATATTTTATTTAATTAAATTAATAATTTATTTAATTTGTAAAATTTTCAATTAATGGTAAACAAAGTTTTTTCAAATAATATAAATAAAAAAAATATTAAACATGTTAATAAATTATTAAAATTAATAGCTTCATATTTTAATTTATTATTAAAATAGTTACATTATTAATTAAATATTTTATTTATTATCAAAGAAAAAAATATCAAAAAATACAATAGGCAAATTAAATACAAACAATTGTTACTTACTGTATATATAAATTATAGCACCTTCAATATATAAACTATATATTTAATGAAATTAAATTCAACTATTTTTCAAAAACTGTATTATGGTAAAATTACTAAATAACATATAATAAATAATTGAAATTTGTATTTAATTCAAAATTGTATTGTCAATAAAATTTTCTTTTAGGGGAGTGCCAGAAAACACGTGATAAAATTTTACTAAGAGTCAACCCCCCCCTCCCTTGTGATCCTAACTATAATTGGCTGATAGCATATTATAATTTGATAATGCAAAGAAAGAGAAATA